CCCCCCCCCCAAACAGGTCTCTTTCAGCAGCTGAGCCGCCGGTCGTCCGCAGATGTGCAGCGTTTGTTCAGCAGAGCGAGGGAAACTATGTTAAACAATTCAAGTGATCTGACCTAATCACCATGCTGTTCCACCGCCATCCTTCCCAACGTGGTAACTGAGTTCACTGAATACAAGTGTCAGAGTGTGTAAGTGTGAGTGTCGAAGTGTAAGTGTCGAAGTGTCAGTGTTCAAAGGATTTTCCGGAAGAACCCTTCGCAATGCTTTCGGGAAATATTTGTTTTTTGTTGCTGAATTGAGCATATTTATTTCCTAAACCTCTTTTGTTTTGAGATTTTCAAAAATGACTTTCCTTTTTGGTGGACATGCAAAAGCTTGTCAAAACAGAAATGTGGTAACGTGCGTCGGGCTGCTGTAGGGTGAAGCCGGGCTGTTTGGCCAGTTTCGGCCGCGTGACGTTTTATACCCCCTAGGGGGTCCCGAATATGATCTTGTTACCCCCTAGGTGGGCCCGAAAATGATCTTGTTGCTCTGAGACTGACATTTTTGCGCTTGCACAAGTGCTTTGTGTTTTGTTGTCCAGGCCTGCATAGATGGGTTTTCCTGGACAGGTTTTTGGTTTTGAAGAAGGTTCTACTGAGCTTACGTTGTGATTGAGGTGATGTTCCTTGCAACATAAAGAGGCATAGTATTTTTTTGTTGTGGCTAAACGTGAAAAAGCTACGCTTTTTTGAAGAACTGTTCACATTGGCTGTTTCTTGGAGCTTTGTTTCTGGCAGGAACAGTCACATGACACTCACTGGCCCAAGAAGAAATCTGACAGAACATCTCATGTGCAAAGACTCTCTTACTGGTTGGCCCAAGAAGCATTGAGACAGAACATTCCATGGGCAGAGAGGCTGTTTTGCACATGTGGGAATTGCAATCAGAATTAGGTTTCACACACCTTTTGATTTGGTGCCTTGTTTGCAACCCACTGTTTGACCAACATGTGTTGATATTTGTTCACCAAACTTGGAAGTGATCTTGCCATGCGGAGCGGATCTTCAGATGCCCGCTTGGTCTCTGCCAGTGTCCTTGCAAATTTCTTGCACCTAACGTGCTGCTCAAGGGAAGATGGCACTATCATGATTACAAAGAAAAAACTGTTAGATATGTTGGAGCGTTTGAATGTTGGAGCCCGCCAAGGAGATATTGGAGGAAACCAAGCTCTTCAAAGAACTGCTTTAGCAAGAAAATTGGGTAGAGCGTTGCAGCTCCCACAATGTCGTGATTTCTTCATGGGACCAGTAGAAGGGGACTCTTCAGATGCATGCTTCAACTTTGAGGTTGTGAAGGAGGTGTTGAGGTCTTTCAAATTTGATCTGCACAGTACTACATGGGAAACTGTTTCTGTGAACATACGCAGTCTTGCCAGCTCCAGTGAACTACGTGGCAACTTCGCTGCTGAAACATCACGGGGAAGACGCTCGCGTTCACCACGGTCTAGACACATGATTGCTCCAAACACTTCCACTAGAGGCTGTAGGGACCAAAATCTTTGCGGGTAGTGACATAGTCCAGTGCTTCTAAGAGAATTTGTGTTTTGTAATGTTTTTTTGGCTGACTTCAGATGTATGATATGTTCACTCATTTGCTGCAGGTCATGCCTCTACATCGTCAGCATCATCAAGACTTGGCAGGTCTTTGTCAGCAATCTCGGTGTCAGATTCTGTGAGGGACTCCTCACTTGGTGACTCCGAGGCGCTTGAATCCAGCTCAGTGACATGTGATGCAGACTCGGTTCCTCAGCCAAGTCCAACTTTACCTCAGCCTCAGCCACCTCCCGGTCCAGTACACCAAGGACGGGGCCTCAAAGAAGATGAGGAATCTGAAGAACTCTTGCAGTTTCGCTACCAACATGCAGGTCTGACATGGCATCAACTGTTGCAAGAGCTCTTGGCAAAGGAAAAAGAATTGAAGAAAGAAAAAGCTGCCAATGCGAAGCACATGTCTACCATTGCAGACTTGAGGAAGAAGCTAAGAGCAGCTAACCAGCAACAACGAAGGTCATTGAAAACGGCTCAGACGTGGATGGCCAAGGCCAAAGCCAAGGCTTCCAAGAAAGGGTCAAAGTCGGGCTGGGGATGCCAGAAGGAGCCAGTATCAGTTGACAACATTGACCAAAGAATGGCAATTCAAAGGACAGGGGGTGCTGAAGGAACCGGCAGATACTTGACTGTTGAGAGCCGCATTTCTCTTGGCTTGAGGAGAAACCTCAGCAACATAGCTACCAGTGATCTAGGACCCACAGTTCTTGATGATGCTACCAGGTGGACCGTTGCCAGATCAGAAGTCGAAACAGGAGCTGCTGTGATTGCGCATGGACAATCTTTTCATGCAGATATGGAGATGGCTCTACAGGAAGCGCAAGAAGACCCTGTTTTGTCTGCAGGAGTTGCAATCCATTGCGTATCACAGGATGCTACAAATGGAGGAATATGGCAGAAAAGGAAACTCATTGCCATGCTCTTGCACACTGCTTACTGCCCCATCTTACCCAATGAATTGACTTTTACTGGGTCGTGGTCTTGGGACATCTTCCAAT